TGTAAATGTTGTTCACTTTTGTTGTTGTTCTCCTTGTTTCGTTGTTGTTTTTGTTGCTGTTTTGCAGTTGTTTCGTTGTTGTTTTGTTGGGTTGCCCCTGCAGCGGGGCACGAGTTGGACGCTGGCTTTGGCCACATGTCAACGGTGCGGCTTGTTAGTTTTTAAGCCGCTGCGTTTGCTGCTAAGCCTTGAATATAATAGACGTATTAAATGCTAAAGAAGGGTGTTTTTTTTAAATTTTGTTTAACTCCCTTTCAACATTAGGCAGCGAAATGTATTTAAAAATACATTAAGCCGCGTGGCTTAGAAAACATGTTCGTATCACGGCCTTGTAAAGGGTGTTTAAAATATGTATATGTATATGTATATGTATGTTTGTATGTGCATATAATCTTAGTCAATCTAACAATGCCTGTCTGTTTGTTTCTATGCAAGTGTCTCAGTTGAAAGTTATCGTCACGCCAGCAAAGGTTCATCTTATAACACACAGTTCTATAGGAACAATCGGTTAAGATATTAGTTTTAATATGGAAAAATTATGTTTTACCAAATATACCATACTCAGTTATTAACTGCTGATAAAAAAACATTTTTCACTACAAATCGAAAAACATGAACTTTTGTTGAAAAGCTAAATAAATGCAAAAACTATCATTTATTTATATTTCTTTTTTTCGCCAATTTTGATTTGCATTACGCACCTGTTCAACAATTACGCAAGCTGTCAAAAGCTGCCAGATGTGAAACTTGTTTGCACTTTGGCTCAATTTCACTTGGCAAAAGGTTGCCCAAAAATGCTGCTCTCAATTTTAATGCTAGACAGTGGCATTAAGGTTTGATATGTAAAGTCAAAACATTTGCTGGCAACTTCAAAAATGCATCAAGTATACGAGCTGTTGGCCGAAGTTCAAGTGGCTATGCAACAGCAACAACAACAACAAAAACATCAACATTGGTATGTGAGTGCGACTGTTGTGCATTTGTTTATCCGTTCATGTCCTGTTAGAAAAGTTAAATATGTTTGCTGACTAGAATATGTTTGCAGCTAACGCAGCCCAAGTCATTTCCTTTGAGACGTATGGGTGTTGTGTGTGTGTGCGCATGTGTGTATCTGTGTATAATAGCATTAAATGCAGCTCAGCATTGCGTGTGTGTGTGCGTTCAAAGTTTTGTCGATTCCGCTCGACTCTGTATGTTAAATATAAATGCAACAGTTTTGACAACAATTTTTCCTGTACGTTGCCATTTAAATGACCAGAAAATTATCACAAAAATTTCACTAACTTCTTCGTAAGCCTCTTGCTAATGCCAAAAAATATGGCAAGAATTATAAAATTATCAAGCATATGCTCAAGTTTTGAAAGCACAAAAGTTGAAAGCAGCCGACTGCATTAAATGCAGGACCAAGAGTTTAAGTCAGAGTCTGAATTCAAAGCACTGACAAAGTGCATTGTCTTCTAAGTTAAGTTAAGTAAGTTTTTATTTAAAAGCTAACCATTTTAAGTCTTTTTTTAAAGATTATTGAGCTGCAAAGCTAACTCTGATGTACTATATGAAGTTGATTGTAGTTTGCCCTGCTTATTCATTGGTAACAGTAGGTTTTTACTGTTCCTCTAATCAAGTGACAGACTCAAGGCAAGAGCAATTTGGTATGGAATTAAGCTATTATTCTAAGACAGAGAGAAAGTGAAAGCAACCATTCTTATATTTAACTCTACAACATATATATGTAGATTTAAGTAATATAACGATTAGGCTAAACCTACTATTTAGCCTAATCGACTCATGATTAATTTATATAAAGTTTATTTTCAGTTCTTATATTCTTATCTTTCCATTTACTACGAGTAGATTTTATAAATATCATATTAAAACAAACATTTTACAACTATATAATAGTTAAATAATGTATTTTTGTATTAAAAAGTTCATTCATTACCCCAGCAACAAATATTGCATATTTAAAATTGATTACTACAGCAAACCGAAAAGAATTCAATGGGTTCAGGGTACAAAGACAACAACAAAATAAAAAGATAGTTAAAATTGTAAGTATGCATACTCTTTTGGTATTTTTTACCAGTAAGAATAAAATTAAAACTATCTTCAAAGCTGTCAAAGAATCTGTCTAAACATCTGTATTTATAATTATAAAAAACATCTGGAAACAAAATCGTGCATACAGACCGACAGCCATTCAAAACGAAATAAATAAAATATAATGTTGAATAAATTAAGAACATTTACAATGGTTTATACACAGACAGAAATTATATTTAGCATGAACTAAGCCTATTCATTATTAAATGAGCTCAACTTATTTTAAGCCGAATCTAAGACCAAACTTACGTACAACAAACTCAAATAGATTGAAAATTATGCGCTGTTTTTAATTTAAAGCCAAACACTATCCACACACGCAAAAGCCACAAAAAAAAAACGGAAAAAACCAAAAATGCAAAACCAAAATCCCAAAACTCGCAATGTCTGTAAACTTTTGCACGGTCAAAGCCAACAGCAGCAGTCGAAATTATTAATAAACCACATAAGCGTCGAGATGGCGAAATATCAACCTGTCTCTCTCACTCTACCTCGGTCGCGCTCTCTCTCTCTCTCTCTCTCTCTCTCTCTCTCTCTCTCTTCGGCTAATGTGTCGCTTGCGCTGACTCTCTTGCTCTTGCCCATTGTGTGAGCCTGCAGATAAAAACTCAAATATGCACCATCGACAATTTTGCACAGTAAGAGTTGAGCGCCGAAACGAAAACTATGAAAACACCATAAATTTTCCACAGACACAGCCAAAAAGTTTTAGCGCTGACTCACCCACGCACACACACACACACACACACACACACACGGAGACCTGACAAAGCCACATGGATTGAAGTGAAAATTATCCAAATGATGCATGCGCAAGTCAAAGGAGCAAATTGAAAGGTCTGCCCGCCTTTAACAATTAATGCCCGAGCGTTGCCAGCGGCAACAACAAAAACTACAACAATTGCAGCTAAAGCAACAACAGCAACAACAATAAGTGCAACTGCAACAAGTCTGTCCGCCAATCCATATAAACCACTCGATATTTTGCTCTGACAGCATTTGAACTCTGCTCATTTGAACATTCGCAATTGAAAAGCAGCGCCTGGCTTTGACACAAAGGTCAAAATTACAGCACTCATTAGGGTTTCAAGCAATTTGCGGAATATATTCCAGCTGCCAGTTGCCAGTTGCAAGTTGCCTCTGGCCTGTTGCCTGCTGCCTGCTGCACTCACATGTTGTAGGGTGACGAGGTTCGAGTTTAGAGGGTTAACCTCTTAATCGTGCACTAATTGTGTGAAGTCAAGATGCCAACATTTTGATAGTGTCAATTGGGTGAGAGTGAGAGAGAGATCAAATGGATTAAGCAAAAAAAAAAACTAGATAGACAGTCAAATTGCTCAATTTGGATTTAAAGTAAAGCTGGAAAGCAACTGGTTTAGTTTGTAGAAAGTATTGGGAAAGCAAAGGAACTATATTGGATTTATGCGAGAAGTGCACATATGCATATACAATACTTGCTTTATAGCTATCTTTATATCTATCTAATACCATAATATTAAATTAGTTTCTGGGATTTAGGTAACTTATTTTATATTTATAAGTTTATTTTGTTTGGTCTTGGTTTTTATTTTGCCTCATATATATTTACAAATAAACTGAGTATGGACTATCGACTAAGTATACTTATAAATATAATTAATTTTATCAAAATAAATAAACTGAGTGTGGACTATCAATTAATTTTATTTGTAAATAATCTATTTTAATTTTATTTATATATTTGTTTGTGATAACCAGCACTAATTAAGTCAACCTCGGCTAGCTTGACTAATTATTATAAAAAATTATATCAAAATTGAACTGCTAAATCATATTGCTACTTTAGCCATAATCAAGAAGAGCCGTATCAAGCTGCTTACATATACAAATATGATTATAAATATCATATAAGAACTACTATTTAATAAAACTGCCATATTTTCGAAAGAAAAATGTTGTTCTTTTAAAATATGTTTCAATTTGCGCTGGAATCGATCAGTCCCTTCTGATCTCTACCAAAAGAATATATAAGTGAATGTATAGTTACAAGTGAGTAGCTTATTAGTATGATATTTGCATGTGGTGGCTGTTGGTACAGAAACGATGCATATTGGTATGAATTGTCGAAAAAAAGTGAATGAAATTTAGCTGGTTTCATGTTTAGCCTTTTAAATGGCAGGTACCCTTCTTTGGAGGTTGTTAAAACGGATCCTATGTTTTTCAGCGATTCTTTGAAAACAGTCAACATGCTTATAAGTACCAAGAGGTTTGGAAAATTATAAAAGTTTCATTGAAAATCATATAAAATACCATTAAATATACGATATTTTAACAAACTACATTATGCACTTTAATATAAATGTCAATACAAGAAATCAATGGAATCAGCGGGCTATGCCCGAAAGAAACCATATTAAGGGTCTACTCCAGACACGCCTCTCTCAACTAATAATTATGTATATACTATTGTTAGTGGAGGTTTTTTTTTTCTAATTTTACGCGATTATTATTGAAGTAGCGGGTATTGCACGGACTGCCCGTGGAAGGGTGTGTGCTAAACAATTTTAGATATTACCTTTCCAATAAGTACACGCCCATGGAAAATTGAAATCTACCCGTGCCATCTTGATCTCCACTTCTATTTATGCAATTAGTTTTAATTGCATGGAATAAAAAACCAAGTGTATACCAATCAACGGTTTCCACCCAAACATTTTAACGTGAAACTTATTTATGTAAATATATTTTAACCATTGTCGAGAGCCTTACTAGCTTCTAACATATAATAAATATTTATGAATATCATACTATATCACATAAGAATGCTTCTTTGAATAGAAATATATCAAAAATTTGCCAAGACATTTATGGTATTGTTATTCAATTATTATGGTTCAAAATTGATATTTAAATACTACTTACCTGAATTCCACTCTAGGATATGCTGTTTAGTTAGTTAAGATCAGCGAATAGTGTTATGTATAGGGCTCTGTTGCTGCAACCATTTGAGCCTGAAGGTAAACAAATTAAATCTAATTACATTTATAATTTATAATTTAATACATAACTTTAAAAAATATTGCATTCAAACTATTCAATAAAAACTCTCTTCGTGCCCGCATCTGTGGAAACACATCATTAATACATTTGTTTGTTAAGTTAATGGCATATCATTTAAATAAAGCGTCCCGCGCTCACCCCATGCGAAAATTGTAATCAAGTTAGTTGCCCATTAAAACAACAACAATTTGCATTACTTTATGCAATTTCCGTATTTGCGCTCATTTTATTTGATTTAATCAAAGGTTCGTCTCTTTCGGCCACACTATTTTGCCTCTCTCTCTCTCTCTCTTATTTGTGCTTCACGCTTTATTTATTTGTATTGACTTTTACTCTCTGTGTGTCTATGTCTGTGCAGAACGCGAAGGAAGCAACAAAAGAAAATACAATTACACTGAGTGCTTCAGTTCCTGTTCTTCCTCCGCCCACCTCACCCTTTTGGGTGGCTAGAAATTGGCTGGCGCAACAAAATATTCCGCACAGATAAATGTAAATACATAAGCAAACAAATCATTTGGAAAATATTTCTCGCAAAATCACATCAAGGTGCAAAATATTTACGTATATTATTTTTGGGCAAGACAGCGGAAAAAAAGAACTCGCAAGCAACAGAAAAAAGACGTTGCCAAATGCCAAAAAACTCGCAAGTGAAAGGCAAAAGTGTGAAAAACTCCGAGAAGCATGAAAAGTGTAAATATTGCCACTGACATAATATTTGCATAGCAATTTTATGATTTTTCCTTGCATTTTGTTGATGAATATAAGCTTCAATGAGTACTCCTTAGACTCCATCAAAGACGCAAAGTGATTGACTGACTGACAGACGGACTGAATGACAGACGGACTGAATGACAGGCAAGTGCAGTGAAAAGAAGCAAAAAGAGCTTCAGCTAGTTAGAGCTGACGGCTTAAGAAATTTCTTGTGGCAAAAATAAGCTTAACAGTATAATAAATAATAAAATAATAAATTAGCTGCATCTGTTTGCTTGATATGAATAAAAGAATTATTTATTAATTAAAGTATCTAATATATAAATATGCATTTATTATTTTATTATTTATTGTCTATTAATTTAACATGAGCATAAGTTAAAATGCTTCAATACTCTTTATACAGTTTTTAAAAGCAATTTAATTTAAGTCTAAAAATAACCATAACACCAAAGAAATATAAATAATATATATCAAAAAAAAAAAAATAATATATATATATATATATATATTAAATTAAATAATATAAATATATATATATATTATTAAATTTTATTTTATAATAAAAACAGACCACATTCAATGCAAGTTTTAATTTTTATTTCTGCTTAAATATTTTAAATTTAATTTGATTTATTTTTTATTGTACGTACATTGCCCAGAGAATTCAAAGAATTATGTTTTAATATTAAAAGCCGATGTGGTCAAAAATGTATAATTTCAAATAATATCATAAATTTAATTAGAATTTTATATTAAATTTTGTGTAAAGAGAATTCAAGTATTATTTATTTCAATATCAAAAGCCGAACATATTTGATTACATTTTTAATTAAGTCTTATTTATATTTTAAATTAATAAGAATTTTATTTAAAAAACTCTTGCCCAGAGAATTCATGAAATTATTTAATTGATTTTCATATTTACGTATTTATCAGATTTAATTGAAAAATGTATTAATGTAATTATATAAACATATATTTATAACTTGTATTTAAATAGTTTAGACTACAGATAATAATAAAAGAAAATACAAAAAAAAGTATTTTAATAGCAAGCAATCAAAATATGCATTTAATGTAGTTTTCCTCAACGTTTTATTAATAGTCATTTCAATTATTTGTGCAAATATTTTTCCCAGTTATTAATGTTACCTCAAGCCTTTAATTGATTTTAATTATGTTAGCCAATTAGATGGTATTTGCTTATGGGACCAGGCCAAGGTCTCCCAAACATACACATACGCCCGCATGCTATAAACTGCGGCTTGCATAAATATTGTTAATAATAATAAAGCAGAAAAAAATAAATAATATTTATACATACTGTAGAACGCAAATAATTTACACACAACACAAACACTCACAGCACATAGAAATAACAGCGTCGCAGGTTCTTTTACTGCTGGCACAGATTATTATAATAAAACAAATAAATACACAAAGGACGGACACTTGGCTCTGGGGCCGCTGTACAACGGGGCGTATGTGTATTTGTATTTATGGCAAAAAGTTGTGAGGGGCACAAAATATACGCACAAGGCGAAAGCAAAGAAAAAAATTTTGCAAGTTTTGCTCTAAAATGGCAGCGAAGCTTTTTGCATGTAAGTCGTGTACGTGCCGGCAGTGTGTATGAGTGTGTGTGCGAGTGTGTGCCTATTTGACTGTTAGTTCCATTGTGGCACACAGTTCCATGCCACTAATAATGTTTATGTAAGAACTCTTTAGAGTACGAGCTCTCACAATAATTTCATTGTTCGCATTCTATTTGCTTGGCTGTTGCCGGTTTGCGCTATTATTTTTTTTTACTTTTTTCCCTCTACTTTTTCAATGATAATTAAGTGTGTATTACAATTCACGTACGTATGTGCTCCACCTTTCGGGTGGTAAAGGGCTGAAGAGAAAACTACGAGCTGGCGCTTGTGCTTTTGTGGGTTTCTTCGATTTTTTACCTGCCCGAAGCGAAAATAAAAAGCTCGGGCATAGAGGTGGGTAGAGTGAAGCTTGCATTGGTTCCGAAATTTTCGAGAATAAATACCCATCCATAGTTCCTCTTCCGATCCATTTCTTCAAACTCTTACTATATAGATTCAATTGTCTTATCGTAAATCCCCAAGAAATAAGCTACAATTTATATCTAAAAAGCAATTTCCATTGCATACAAACAGGCGCAAAGTCCCGTTGCGATGCGTGTTGTAAAACGCGTTGTAAAACGTGTTATAAAACGTGCGTGTCAAGCCGCAACTATAATTTAATTGCCACTATAACACTTAAGTTAAATGTTTTTACATGCGTAGTTAGCACATGGCAAATAAAATAAAGTGTAGCTGCTCGAAGACAACCACAAAATGTGACTCGAAAGAGCTTTAAAGTTGCGCCCCATAATGAGCATAAAAATATAATGGCCATGTACATACATAAAAATATATAATATGCATTTACAATGTAAGCAAAACTACCCGGCTGTAGCTCGATGGGTAAACTCCTGAAAATTGTTTACCAACGCGTCGCGCTGATGATGTCATCAGCCAGACTGATATGGGGGTGTTTGCCAAATTATGCATCCTGCTGTACGAGCAGAGTATCCCCAGCCACATCCAACCCTGAATCAATAACAATAAACAGAGAAGAGCTCTGAAACTCCGAGATGAGAGTCAGACGTCGCCTTTGCCATTTGCCAGACGACCCGCCAAAGTGGCGCCAATATTTTTAGCCAGTTTTTTTTTCTCTTTTTTTTTTTTTTTTTTGTCTTCCGGTTTTTCGTAGGGGTTGAAGCCAACGTGTGTTGTTGTTACGTTTGACTGTCTTCCCCAAGATAGTTTTCCCAGCTGACTTAACTTTTCTTGGCAAACTTGGCAGCGCTCTTTACAAATTTTAAGCGTATACAATTATTTTAAATATTTATGAATTTTCATTTTTATTTGTATTTCATTAATTGGAACATTTTCCTCAGGCTGTAAAAGTTAATTGGATTTTGAGTTTGAAAAAAATCAGAATGAAAGCAAAAGTTAAGGCACTTTTTACGCTCATAATTGGAAAATGATAAAAACGCCGTTTTTAATCGGGCTCAAGCAGTTGAGCAGCTGCCTGCCGGCCAATAATTCAATTTGGGCTTTGATCTTTGAATAAAGTGAGTGTTAATTAGATAATTTTTAAGTAATTAGCAGCCGACAGTTGCAGCTAAAACAGAAGTTCGAACAGCCTCAAAGCTACAAGTTTCAGTTTAAATAAAATTGTTGCAGGTTTTTCGAAAATTAAACAGCCCGAAGGCAGGCAAGCTGAAGCTACTTTTGCTGCTAATTAGTACACTAGTTAACAAGATTGTATTTATTGCTGAGCAACAGTATGTGATAGAGGCAGCAATCTTTCATAACTTTCATTGAGTACAAGTTAAAAACTTTAGTTCAACCGAAAAATATAAGCGATGTTCCTGGGAGAGTGGCAAGGACTCGCCTTGTAGACTGTCAAGCCATTCTCTTTAAAGATAGGAAAGCTCTTCGACGTATGGTAAATGTTTCACATGGCAAAAAGGAGACCATTTCACCTGAAAGATTGAGTTATGCTCTTTGTAACCGATTTTGACGGAGCCAAAATGTTTTGGTTGATTTGGAGCTCCTACCAACAAAACGAACAAAAACTTTGAAAATATTTTCAAATTTTTGATACTTTCTTTTGCCATTTTTGGGCATTGGGTAAGTCAAAGTGCTCTAGTTGGGTATAGGAGACTGAAAGACTGAATGATAGATACCTGATATATATATACTATTCTAGGGCTACATTTCCAATTTGGTGACTCTAGCTCTTAAAAACAGGGCAAGTTATCGTTTATTGGAAACAAACTGCGCGGGCATGAGGAGGACCTACGGTCATATTAAAATCTCTGGCTTTTATGGGCTCTGACAGACAGACTGACGGACGGACATGGCTAGTGATGGTGATCAAGAAAATATATACTCTATTCGGAGATGCTTCCTTCTGCCTGTTACACACATTTGCACAAAAACATTATACCATTTTGTACAATTTTCTACGATTTGAGGGTATTAAAATAATATAATTATTAAATATAGTTTTGCTTGGCGGCTAAAAAAGCGTTTTGCCTGGTAGATATATTAAAGATTTATATTTTATATATTTAATTTATATTTCTTTCTAAATATTATAAGCACAACTTAAAATAAACTTCACTTAACAGGAAATAGGTACGTTTATTTAATGCCAAAGCTATATTTAAAATAGG